GCGCGCTAGTCTGCGCGTGGAGAGGAGGGTGGCTCCTTTCCCCGGGAGTCCGCGTTTTTTCTCTCTGTTTGCCGCGTGTCATTCCTCAATTATACTCTGACAGCTCCTGAATTACTGTGGGCTGGATGACGAGATGACTGCAGCGCTGTGTATCGATCACTCCCGTTTCCGCCCCAGTACAGTCACCCGCCTGCCTGCCTGGTGGATTCAACTTAGTTAAAGCACGCCCGCCGTTCCTGGGAAATTTACACATTTCAAAGAAACTTTTAAAACTCGGTGACTCTGTGTCGGAAATTCCCAGCTGTAAGACCCTGGAGAAGACATTTTCACGCTCTGTAACTCAACCTGAGCGTACAAGAGAAAGGAAACTGGAGCTTCTAATGTCGTGACTAAAGTGCCCAGTGCCCGAGTATAAGGCGATATAACAGCTGTACAATGATCGAATTCATCTGAATCGCAGGGATTCGAACTCATACAACGATACAAGAGTCGTAGAATTTAAACTGAAAAATCTGAAGGCTGTATAGTCGGGACAATGTCTGAAAACACAGTTAAGACACCTAGTCAGGAAAAAAAAAGTTTTTGGTGAGTCTACATGGACATTTTTTTAAATTTGTATCGAATTTTATTTTCCGAGGATGGTTAGTCAACAATCATACACATACAAACGATGTTTCTTACTGAATGGTAGTTTGGAATGGGAGGCGCAGTGGCCAACACTGCTGCCTCGCATCGCTGGGGCCCTGGGTTCACTTCCGGACCGGGGTGCTGTCTGTGTGGAGTTTGCATGTTCTCCCCGTGTTCGTGTGGTTTATCCTCCGGGCGCTGCGCCAAAGTCCACAGTCCAAAGGGATGCTGGTAGGTGAATTGACCCCTGCTGGGCGCGTGTGTCTCTGTCTGTCTGCCCTGTGATGGGTCTCCATCTCCGGGTGCGCCCAGTGCTTCCCAGGCCACTGCGACCCCGGACTGGCTGAGCGGTGACTGACAGTGATGACGTCAGGCGGTGGCTCAGCTTCCCGGATGCAGAAGCCGCGACCGCCGCAGCTGCCGGAGTTCTGGAACTTTGGAAGGCTGTGTGCCTCGAGGCGCTCGCGCGGTGCCATTGAACTCCGAGCGCCTTTGTGCCGCCCGGGGTCTCCTGCCTGTGCCGCGATGATTAATGCGACTTCGCTTTCCAGTTTCTCGGCATTGCGCAGAGCGGGGTCAGCTGCGGTTTAAACTGGGTGGGAGGCCCGGAGGATCGGGTAACAAAAACTTCCGAAGGGGAGAAGATTCAAATGCTTTCAAACTCGTCCGAGAGAAAAAAATTGAATTTGGTGGGGGGGCTCTCGTGAAACACCCAGTTTCTGCAAATGTCAGCAATGACACGTCTCCACCCCCCTCTTCGGCGCTTACCCGTGTTGCTGCAGTTCCATCTAAGGACAGCATCGCAAGTTACTCAGAAACGCGTTACTCAAAAGGCACATGTACGATTGTCGACATCAACGAGAAACTGAGAAACTACCTGTTGGGATGGAAAGGAGGGGTGTCAATGACGTAACACACTCCAAAAATATTTTTTTGTAATAACGTTTGTTTTTTCGGTCAGAACTAATTAACTGAATCAATTAGTGTTTCCAACAGTGAAGCAGTGTTTGATTGATTGATTGATTTTTTCCCCGTGTTTCCTGTCCTCTCAGCCAAACGCTTGCCTGGGGGCTGCGCCGTCAGCTACCTCGCGCTGGGACTGGGCCCGAGCGGCGGAGACCCCAGCGGCCTCGCGCAAGGCTGTCTCCAGGGCAACGGAGCTCCGAGAACCAACTTCAGCACCAAGCAGCTGACCGAGCTCGAGAAGGAGTTCCACTTCAACAAGTACCTGACGCGCGCCCGGCGCGTGGAGATCGCCACGGCGCTGCAGCTCAGCGAGAACCAGGTGAAAATCTGGTTCCAGAACCGGCGGATGAAGCAGAAGAAGAGAGAGCGGGAGGGCCTGGTCCTGGGTGCTCTGCCCTCCCCCTGCAGCAGCCAGGAGGACTCCCCCTCGGACAAGTCCGACCTCTGCTCCTCGCCCGCTCCTTCACCTCCGCCGCCGCCGCCGCCCCGAGCGCGCACAGTCACCGGCTCCCCGGCGGCCTCCTCGCAGCCCGAGGTTTGTGCACAAGTCCCCGTAGCCACGCCTGACTCGGCGTGAATTCGTTCGGCCGCTCGCGCGTAAAGGGAACCGTGCGGGGAGCGGACATCCTCGTCTTTCCTTTCCCCGTCATCACGGGTCTCTTGTCCTCTCCGCGCACGGTCCGTCCTCTCCTCTCCGGCACGTCCCGGGGGGAGGGGGGGGCGGGGCAACTAAACGGCGAGCGGAAACCGTACGCGAACGCAACAGGAAGTGGTTGGACAAAATGTAGCTTCTTCTGTATTTAGGAAAAACAAAAACGCACACTTCGTCAGATTCGCGTTCAGAGAACTCTCCTTGAGAGTTTTACGTGGTAACCGGTTAGGTAAGGCGACTCTCTCCTGATCCGGCCCTCTGTTTTACACAAATTAGAGAAGAGAAGAGACGTTGCTCTGCCAACTCTAGTGAAGTTACGTATGTAATTCTGACAGAAGTCTTGCACCTGAGCAAGCAGTATTTTTTTAAACAAAATAACCAGTGCCTCCTCCGAATATTCTCTGGAAAAGAACTTATACACGCTCTCTACGAATCAACACGAATAAAGCCCATACGCGGCTTCAATACTAATGTCAGTCATACAGTTTGCTAACACGAGATTACGTACTTTGCACCACAATCAGCTTGATGCACATTTCTTAATCACTACTGCTCAACACGAGCCACATGAACTGACAGTCGTGGACAATCAGTGTGCCCTAGCAACCTGCAGTTCGTCCTGCTTTATTGGAAAAAGTAGACACCAAATATTACTTGCTGGGTTTGCAGTAGTCAACCGTTACCCAGTGAAGTTTGTTCCGCCGGTGTTTTTATCTCGACTTCCTTCATTAGATCTCGCGTTGGGGTTCGGTGGGGTCCTGCAACACCTCGATTAAAGACATGTGCAATCAGAACTCTATTAAAGGGACTAATGCGACACAACACGGGCCCGAATAGTAAAAACAGATCGTTAGCAAAAACAATAAAACCAATATCTTTACTATTAAACACAACGTTTTAAATGGTCATTAAACATCGAAGGCGAATTTGTAATCTACACAATCTATTTATTTTCCTTTAATATATCTAAGAGATTAAAGTAAACGGTGACATTCTTGATTTCACTGATGTGATAGATAATGCAGTGCACTACACTACGCCTTTTTTTTAAGGTTTAGGAAGTCCTTTAAATGTATTTTCGGTTTGCTTTTTTTCATTCGTTTGCATACGCGCCTGTCTTGTACATCGAAAGACTGAAGACCAAACGCTGGCCGTTCAGTGCGGCGAACGCTCCTCTCCGTTTGACCCGGTAATATTGGACGATGAATTATATCGTCCGAATTCGTCTTACAAGTGGAGTTCCCACTGCTATGCAACGTCCTTTTCAGATTGCTGGCATCGAAATGCCCCCTGTTCACCTGCAAAAAAACATGTACATCTTTAAAAAATACTAAACATCAACAATAAACCACTTGTTCTTAATCGCAATTAAAAATCTGCTTATCTAGCCCAAGCGATCACCGCATATATTTGCATATTTGGCAAAGTTTCTACCAAGAAGGCAACACATTCTCTGCGCGGCTCATGTCGATGTTTTAAGTTCGTTTTCAGATTCAGTGAACAGGAGCGCCGTTGCGTCGCCCCGCACTTTTTTCCAAGACCAGACCAGGCCCGTTCTGTCAAAGCCAACGTTGACGGTTGTGCACGGCGCTGGCGAGCACGCGCTATGTCGGGTGTGGTGCGGGTGCACGCGTGCTCTGCGGATCAGATGAGGGTTTGGTGCCGTTTGCTCAGAAGACTGTTGTCACCCCTTCTCCCCTATCTTTATTTTAAATTAACGAACAGAAGGATTCTGCAGTAAAAGTATAGAGACACTTCAGGAGCCAAGAGGTGATTCATGTTATACGCACTTATGACAGTTCATTCTGCATACATCCTGAAGTTAATGAAAAAAAGGTGTACTAATAATAATAATAAAATAATAATAATAATAATAATAATAATAATATTCGTCGTCATCATCATCAAATTAATGTATTCAAAACGTAAAATATAAATTAAAGGGTTTACGAAACATAAAGCACATAAACGTATTTCGTAATTACGTTTTATGTGTTTGTCTTCATTCTAAATGAGAAGTTTAGGATCCTCATCATCTCAATAGTCGAAATGCCCCGTGCTCTTCACGATAAAGCAGAATCGGTTGCGATCATTTCTGCTCTCATGGATTCCTGAAGGGTCGTGCGTGAAAAGAATCTGTTCACAGACAAGAAACTGTTCCTGGATTTCAGTGATGTCTGGGGTCGGCTGGCACATGATTCGTTGATAATTCTGAATGAGCAGGGAACAAACACAGATTTAATGTGCTGTTGCTATGCGAGAACTCTGCCCACTGCCGTTTCACGGTTTGGGACTCGGGCCTTCACAGCTTTGTCTACAGATGTTAATTTAGCTCCAAACACACGCGCACACGCGCACACACCCACACACACTACCCACTAGAAATTAAGTTTTAATACAACAGCTGTAAATGTATATCACATTACAGCGTCGTCCCTAACTCTACCCCAAAAAACGAAAGCAGAAAGCACGACGACCTTCATTCGGGTACTGCTCTGTAGTCACCGCATTTAGTCCGTTTTATTCTTTTTTACGTGACTGGAAAACGCGACGCCCACGTCGCGTCTGATTGGATACGAGTAGCGCGAGACTCCCAGCAGCAATCCACCGCGGCGGAGCGCGACCACCCGCCCCAGCGTCACTTGCCCGTTGCAGTCACGTGCCAGTCTGTTTTTTTTTTCCTTTACCTGCGGGTTGAAATTTTCTAGAAGCAGCTCTGCATCGGACGTCTTTTCTCTAAACGAATTGCCGTGAAAGCACGGCTGCAGCTATATGCTTAATCATGATTTTAGATCGGAGTGTTTTTTTTTATTCTCACTGATCGATCTATAGGCCACTTATCCAGTTATCCTATGATCAGAACGTTCGACGCATAAATCTTTACCCTTTAAAATGACTAAAGACTCTAGTCCGCGGTAGAACAGAGTGCAGTATAACACTTTCCAATGCAATATATTGCAACCCGGTACAGCACAGTGTAATTTACGGCCTCTCTCTTCACCCGAAGCGTCGTGGAGTGTTGAACAATAAAACAGTACTCAAACTCTCGTGCCCTGTATTCAATCAAACAATAAATAAGGAAGCGCGAGCCACAACCCACTTGATATTCGGTTTAATCTTTTTATTGGTCCTGTCTGCCACCCCCGACAGGACCTGGGTTAGAGTTTCATCTCTTCACCGAGCCAGCGGCCGTGATCTTCCTTCAGGCAGAGCTTTCAGTGATCAAAGACTGAGACATTCTGTTTAGCGAAGAAAGTCCGTGCATATGTGCACTGTAAGGTAGTTGCATACACTGTAAACTGCTTTAGAGTTAAATCAAATAAACTCGAACTCATATTTATATACACTACTTTAATGCGTTGATCATAAAGCCTGAATACATCCCGTGGCGTCGCACGTGTGTACTAGTTGTGCTGGAAACGTACAGGGTAACGTTTACAACTCACACGTAAATGTTTGCTTTTACAGGCGTGTAGTGGAAGAGTTTGAAAATAATTCCGAAGGTGCAGGTAACTGTCACCAGCAGCTCACCTGTCCTGTGACGATATGCCCACACACGCATAGCTCGGTGACTTGAGACAGGCCGAGCATTACATTATCACCCAGCTCCGCTAGCGAGGCCGTTAAAAGCTGTCAGCGCCACTGGTAGGAGTAAAGACTTAAGAGAGTCTTAAACTGTCACCAAAACAGGAAATTCACAAATGAACTAAATCTGTTTGACGTCCGTTTAAACTACCGAACCTATTGAGATCTTCATCACAATATAAAAGGAAGAATATATTACTATTTGTTGCAAAAATAGTCTTAAGTTTTATTCTGATTTATTGTTTCTTAGCTTCTTAAAACGAAGTTTTTTTTAAAAAAATGTTTGTATACTTACGGACTAGCCTACACGATCTGCACATTTATCCGGCAAATTTAGAGAAATACTCAGCAGTACCTGCGTGTCAAGTTTCTTGAGAAATTAACGGCGGTCCGTCGGACAATATCGTAATTACAACAACCAAAAGAGCAACTGATATTTGCGTGTATCAGTCGTGTAGAACCCTGTATCGAAAAAAACAAGAACTTTCTTTTAAGAACCTAAGAAACAATAAACCGAGAACAAAATGATCGAGATTTTAACACTAAGACTGATTTTATGAATGATAATATAATCTTCAGAATTAGTTTCAAACCCTTCCGCATACACGCTCGGCACGCATCTACAGACATTCCACACCAACACCAAACCAGGCTTCTCGATTAACATCCAAAATCGATCATCTATAAATTGTTCAGAATCTCTCAACAATCTAAAACATATAACCACATTTTACTTAGTGCAAATTATCAGTTGTTCTTTTGGTCGCTGTAACTACGATATTGTCTGACGGGCCGCCGTTAATTTCTGAAGAAGTCCCTGAAGAAACAGGCAATTTAAAGTAATTTGACACATGTTATGTTTTTGGTTTAAAAGGTAAAAATGCAATGTAACCTTAATATTAATAGCAACAACATATTTTGCCTAATGCTAGCAACGATTCACAAGTTTTGTCAGTATCATTTATAAGCTACTGAGGTCAGGCTTTCCAAATTATTTTCTGCGCTCTGCCACCTTCTGAAGACCGAGGGCAGCTCCTCAAACTCGCCGTCATCCCTCTGCTGTGGGCCGGTGTCCGGGGCAGAGTCAGACGCCGGACACGTCTGCATATTCAGGAACAAAAACACAAGTTCCTTTGCACAGAGCAGGACCCATGCCGAATAAGCTAGCATGTTACTATTCTCGTGTGTGTTTGAGCCAGGTCTCAGACCTGAATCGAACTGCAGTTTGTTCATGATAATTATTCGTGTTTATTTAGAATAACAACACGGATAAAACGATCAATCACAGGTTAGGTGAATTTCGAAGATTGAAGACAAAGTTTGTGTGTGTGTTCGTGGGAAGGGGGGGGAATGCAGCAACACAATGGAAACGTTGCCGAGGTTTTTAGAAATCTCAGATTCATAGATTTAACTTCGTCGGCAGCACAGCGAGACCCGGTTTAAGAAAACTTTGTGAAGCGACACGGTCGTCCGCTCTTCGCAAACGAGTTCGACAACTACAGTTTTTTTTTTGTATTGTTCGGGCTGGAATAATGCGAGTCCGTGTTAAAAATGAAGAAAACAACAACGCAAAACACCGGCTTGTACAGAGCCCGTCGTTGTTGATCTTGTTGATTTTTTAAAAACACATTTGGCTTGCTCTTGCTGGAGAAAAGATTGAATAGATTTCAGTCTGCTGTT